CATAGACACCGAGGTTGATACATCCATTCACCCACACACCCATTCAGTGGCTGATCAATGTGAATTCTGTGAACAGTTATAAAAATTTCAACCAAGTTCCCTGAATTACAGTGTTTAGCGCTACCCAGGCTCATTGCCTCGTTTGGTTTTGCAGGTGTTAATGTAAGTTAATCTAGTGCAATAGTGAATAGTGTAATGAAACGGGTGGGAAAACAGAATCTAATTTGTTTCAAAAATTGTATTTGTAGAGTAAAGACCTTGTTTCATTGTGAAAAAGAAGTGCACTTAATTGTATTGAATATGTACTTCATAATATTAATGAAATAAAAGGCCACATTAGTGTACTTTAAAAGAGTACAGTCTTAAGTTTAACAAACTGCATTTAATATAAATTTAAACTATAGCATACATTCATTTTAATTCTAAATAACATTTGACAAGTGTGGAAAAAAAACATTACAATCTGCATCATTGATCTTTTTTTATCTTTCTTTCAAAAACATCACACAAATTCTAACCTTTCATTGAAGTGAGAAAATGTCATGATGAAATAAATGTTTTTTTTTTTCTCCAAAGCATGTTGGCCACAATTATTGGCACCCATAGAAATTATTATGAGTAATATACAGTGGGTACGGAAAGTATTCAGACCCCCTTACATTTTTATATTCCCATTCATATTTACATTTTTTACCACACCAGGGTGACTAGGATCATGAAATTGTCCAGCCATGACTTTCAGTTCCACATTAATTATAAATATGAGGAATACAAAGGCCAAATTCCCTTAATCATCCATCACAGGGAGTAAACCCAAAGAATATAGTTCTAATGTGCAGAACAAGTTTGTTGAGCTTCACAACTTAGAAAATGGCTTTGGAAGCACTGGGGATTTAAAACATTGGAAATCCCAATTTCCACCATCAGGGCAATAATTAAGAGGTTCCAATCAACTAAAGATGTTACAAATCTGCCTGGAAGAGGACGTGTTTCTATATAGTCCTAATACACGGTGAGAAGGAGAATGTCAGTGCCCAAAGAATCTCCAATGATCACAGCTGGATAATTGAAGAGATTAGTTGAATCTTGCGGTCAGAAAGCCTAAAAAAAAAAAATCTCTCCTCGCTCATTCAAAAACAAACTCCAACATATTCAGTTGTCAGACACGACTGGAACTTCAAATGGCACTGGCTTCTATAGTCAGATGAAACAAAAAAAATAGCTTTTTGGCAGCAAACCCACCAGATGGTTTTAGTACAAACAGGGATAAAAAGTAACCCATGTCCACGGTTAAATATACTGCTGGATCTTTAACGTTGTAGGCCTGTTTTTTTTTTTTTTTTTTTCCTGCCGGAAGTCCTAGACATCTTGTTCAGATGTATGGCATCATGGATTCTATGGATTCTTCAAATACCAACTGATAAAAAAAATCCAAACCTGACTGCCTCTGTTAGAAATCTTATAATTGTCACACCACATGGACCCTGTTGCTGTGTTTTCTGTTTCTCTGTTCTCCTGCCTTGTTTTTATTGTTTGACCTAGTTTCTGTCTCCCCTTGATTACTTGAGTTAGTTCACCTGTGTCTTGTTAATTCTCCTTATTTGCCTGTGTATTTAAGTTCCTGTCTGTTCAATTTTAGTTTGTCGGGTCTCGTCGATGTATACGTGTGTTTCCAGCCCTCCTGGTGTGGATTACCTTATATGAATTTTTTTTAAAGACTGTTACCCTTCGTTTCTGTGTGTGTTCATTTGACAAAGTTATTGTGACAATAATGGGTTGTGGTCGGATCTTCCATCAGGACGATAATCCAAAACAAGCATCAAAATCAACACAAAAATGGGTCACTGAGCACAAAATGAAGATTTTGCCATGGCCGTCCCAGTCCTCTGACCTGAACTCTATAGAAAATTAGTGGGGTGAACTGAAGAGAAGAAGCACCAACATGGATCTGTGAATCTGGAGAGATTCTGTGTGAAGGAATAGTCTATGATCTCTTATCAGGTGTTCTCCAAACTCTTCAGACATTACAGGAGCAAACTCAGAGCTTTTATCTTGGGAAAAGGACATTGCGATAACTGGGTGCCAATAATTGTGGCCAACATGAACTAGGGAAAGCATTGATTTCACAAAGACACCCCCCCCCCACACTTTCAATTGTTTAACTCCAATGATAGGTTAGAATTTTATTTTTTATTTTCTTAATGAAAGATCAAAAGGATAAACAATGCAGATTTATTTTCACAGCCCCGCTTTTGCTCATATTTACCAAGGGTGCAAATATTACTGGCGGTCACTGTATATAAACACTTTCTTACCATTCATTCATTTTTATTTTATTTTATTTTTCTATTTATTTATTTTTAATTTTTTTGCTGTGGTATAAAAACTGGTAGCAATCGATGGAATCAACTCCACAAATCCATAAATATTACCAGGACTGGGTCAACATTAAGGGTACATGAACCAGAAAAAGAAGAAATAAAACCAGTATTCATGTATCTCCCTTATCTCTGCAATCATACATTGACGTACTAGCAAGAGTTCCAGAACTTTGGTCTTTTAACTTTTTATCTGTAATACTGGAACTAGCATTAGCTAACAAACATTTGCCCAATAAAATTAATACCAACTCTTAAAGGGTTAGTTCACCCAAAAATGAAATTAGCCCATGAATTACTCACCATCAAGGCGTCCTAGGTGTATATGACTTTCTTCTTTCAGATAAATCCAGTCGGAGCTATATAAAAAATTGTCTTTGATCTTTCAAGCTGTTTAATGGCAGTCAGCGGGTGTTGCAGTGCATCAGTCCAAAAGAAGTGAAATAAAGTGCATCCATCTATAATAAAAATTACCTCACACGACTCCGGGGGGTGAACAAAGGCCTCCTATAGCGAATCGATGCGTTTTTGTAAGGAAAAAAAACATATTTAAAACGTAATAATCAATTTAATTTAGCTTCTCAGCGTGCAAGTACTCTTTCGCGCCGCATGAATGGAGAATTACACATAAAATGATGTTGAATTGTCCGTTTTGACGAGTATTTACGTAAACACAGTTGATTATGTCTTAAGTGAACGTAAACAGTAGGGAGAACGTGTATCAGTCCATTGCATCCATTGCAGCTGTGCATTCGGTTTTAAAGGGATAGGAGCCTAATTTAGTTGCTATTGTCCGAGTCATTGATGTTAATCAAGCAACAAAAGAAAGACAGAAAATCACGCACTGCTCTTGACTGAAAACTTTAGTAGCCCTAAAGATTAATCTAAATTTATTCATAGAAATAAATATGTCTGCTTGAAAGAATGAAGAATATGTAAATAAGTTGATATAAAGAATGCATAATTAGCCTATATAACCATTGGTATTTCATTAAAAAGAAGACCATGTTCTTGTTCTTTATGAGAAGTGGTTTTATTTCATTTTAACATAAAGGCATGTTGTGTGTCACCGCAGTTAAATCTGTGTCTATCATGATAAAACCTTAATATCAAACCTATATAATGATTTTGGAAATTTTTGAGAGTAACTGAACCCATTCGATTTTAGCCGACTAAATTTATTGTAGATTTAGTCGACTAAAATCGTATGATATTTAATCGACTAAAACTAGACTAAAACTAAAAACAATTCAGACGACTAAAACATGACTAAAACTAAATGGCATTTTAGTCAAAAGACTATGACTCAAACTAAATCAAAATTTGCTCTCAACATTAACACTGACGACTAGGATGGCTTGAGGGTGAGTAAATAGTGGGCTAATTTTCATTTTTGGGTGAACTATCCGTTTAAAATTGACTCCCCTCAACAATATAAAATTTATTCCTTTTTGGAATCGACTGCAAACATTTTGGAAATCCTAGCCCAATGTTGGACATTTAGTTATCTGCTTGTCTTGATTTCTAGTGGGTGAAGCAGTATTATCTCAGATGAGCATCTGTCATCACCCAGATCAAGGGTGTTATGCCTCTATAGCCGCCAGTGATAAAATCACATCTCCCTTTTTTTTTTAAGGAAGTAAGTGAAACACATCAGTGGGCCTGTTTTTCCCCTCATTTTACTTTCTGTACAATCACTCTCTTTATCATTGTCAGCAGTATGATGAACCCCTGGTGAGCCGGTCCATTTGTACAGCTCTTTGACTGTCTTCAATTTGCATAGATATGCAAACCGCGGTTACATCTCGTTGTGTTTGCTGTGATGCTATCAGACTCAACTCACATAAATCCAGTCACCACGCTACTTATCTGGGCCATTGTTCAGTCCTACATATTCTAAAGCATGTTAAGCTAGCGCTCCATATGCAAAAAGAAAAACTATATATTGTGCCATAGTAAAATGATCCGTATCTCGTCCCACAAAAGGGCAGAAGTTGTATATGTTTATGTTAAAATGTTATCCTAGTCATCTCTTTAGAGGTGTGCTTGAGTTCTCATTACATTAACACTATTTTTGGAGTGTCTGTTGTATCTTTATTGGACAGGAAAGGGCTCTTTGTTTTTTTCATTTGTTGATAGCCTTTGTCGGTATCCTTTCCTGTCATTGAAGCCATAAAAAACAAGTGACTACTGAGAGGCTTTGCCTCTTTTATGTCTTCTTTCTGCCTCATTTAGTTTCACAAAGTGCTGAATTTACTTGATGTCTTTGTGTTTGTTTGCACAGAGGCTTTTAATGTAACACTCTGATTTACTTTCTTGACGGAAAGTCTATCGGAAAGACATAAAGTAAACCTCTTCGGAGTAACCTGTTACACCTAATGTGTGGTTGTAAAAGAAGATGTATGAGAAGAATGAGGTAAAGGTGGGCTAATGGTTAACGATCAGGGCTGCTTGCGCAAATGTTACATCTTAAGCAAGGGTGACCCTGGAATCTGAGAGTTACTGAGATTGAAATTCTGCTTTATCACCGTTGTGCCCTTGAGGGATTTAAACCTTGGCTCCTTCAAGGGAACTGTCTCTGTAATTAGTGTCTCTGATGCCCTCTTGTCTTTCTCCGCCCAGGAACCTTTCAAAACGTCACTCTCCGGGGCCGCTATCACTGCAGAGGGGGGCGGGAGATCAATGTGAGCCAGCTGTGTGACTTCAACTCTGACTGTCCACAAGGGGACGATGAGGGGGAACATTGCCGTGAGTATTAGTGCCGTTCATTTGGAGGACGAGACAGCAGACGGGGGCTCAGGAGGGCAACAGCAGCTCTTTAATGAAGCCATCGTGTGTTTGCCCATTACATAACAGCAGTTGTGTTTATTGGACATTTTGGGAGTTGTTGTGGTTCAGTAGTCATTGTCATCACAGACACACTGTTTCTCGCAAAATGAAAAAAATAAAAAAAAAGAGGGACAACACACACACATCAAGCACAGATTTATTTGTCTCGCAGCGAAATAAGAGATACTATAATTAACTGTGTTAATATTTTAAGTTTGGAATAATGTATATACAAGTTAAGTTTTACACGCTTAATTTGCTGTAAGACAAACAAATTGGTATGTGTGTGTGTGGGGGGGGGGGTATATAGTATATTTATTTGTTTGTTTGTCCATTCATTTGCTATATAAATGTCTACTAATTTAATTAATCATTTCTGAATAAAAATATGTATTTTTTTATTTTTTTATGCATCCATCCATCTATCTATCTATCTATCTATCTATCTATCTATCTATCTATCTATCTATCTATCTATCTATCTATCTATCTATCTATCTATATATATATCTATTTATATGGCACTCATTTGATACTAAGGGTTTTGTAAATATGATAACTGTATATCATCTAATATAAAATCTGAGTAAGCTAACTGTGAGGCATTGGCCTTATAACAGTAGCAGAGTGAAACTGATACTAGATATGTGACCCTGGACCACAAAACCAGTCATAAGGGTCACATTTTGAATTCGAATGAAGCTGAATAAATACGCTTTCCACTGATGTATGGTTTGTTAGGATAGGACAATATTTGGCTGAGATACAACTATTTGAAAACAGAAATCTGAGGGTGCAAAAAAATCTACATATTGAGAAAATCGCCTTTAAAGTTGTCCAAATGAAGTCCTTAGCAATGCATATTACTAATCAAAAATTAAGTTTTGTTATATTTACGGTAGGACATTTACCATGGGAAATGATCTTTACTTAATATCCTAATGATTTTTGGCATAAAAGAAAAAGCTATAATTTTGACCCATACAATGTGTTGTTGGCTATTGCTACAAATATACCTATGCGACTTAAGGCTGGTTTTGTGGTCCAGGGTCACATATATGCAAATTAGCAGGATGAGGTAAATCTTCATGCTTTTTATTCACTTTAGTTGAAACTTCCATCTTTTTCACTGAATTTTTGACAGTATATGTCTGAGACTTTCACTGCTGCATTGCATTTTTAAACCTTTTTACCACCGAACGATTTCAGTTCTGATGACACATCTGCCACATTTAGCCTATTTTCCTGTAATTTTCTCTGTCTGACTGCCCCACCTTTTCCCATCATTCTCTGCTTCTTCATTTCTGCACTAAACTCCCCTTAGCATAAAGATCAGAAGCTCACACTGTCCTGATCTTTTATTTCATACCTGCCATAATCTATCCTGTATGATGCAATTTCATTCCATCATAGAGGATTCATTAGTGATCCGTTCCTTCAGCTTCGCAAGCACAGCACAGATACTGCCAGCAGCTTTTCAATGCAAAACGGAAAGCTGCAATCTCATGCCGTGCCATTCAAATCATGCAGAGCATTTCTTCTTTCTTTGTCATCTTTCTCTCTCTTTCCCAGTTATGGCTCTTCATGCTAATCCTCACGAGTGTGGTCATGATGGTCGATGTGTTTACTCTCTCCTGGTTAATAGCAGTGAGTCCAGAGCTGCAGCATCTCCCCTCAGCGGATGATTAGCTGATCCTGCCTCACACCTCTCAGATCAATACAGTGCAGCAGCTGTAATCAAATTTCAGTGGGTCCACCTGCAGTGCAAAGAGAAAGGCAACACACACGCATTTTGAGATTTAACAGGATTCTGAGCTTTGTTTATTGTTAAAACAAAGCTAAATGTCACTGTTCATGTTCGATATGCCACCACAGATATTAATATTGATTAGCAACCTGTTAATCAGTCTCTTTTAAAACCTGTTCCGCTTATTTAATTTGCACAACAAGATTTGATTGTCTCTTTAATAAAATGTTAAGTTTGTTGAAAACTGACTTCTGAAGACCACATAAAGAAATGACGCACAGGTCACTGCAGTTGTGATTCTGTTTAAAAGTTTATTTAAGGTTAATTTGAAGGAAAAGAAAATAATGTCAAGCTTATATCTCAACCCAATAGAAATACCAGTATCATTCTTTTGTTTTGTTGTCATTAAGACGCACAGTATATAAACATTCTTAAAACATGATCAGATTGACTAGGAAGCAACTGTCATAATATAAGATTAATTATATTAGACTGATTTTCACTTTTTTTAATTGTGCTTAAGTTTATTTTTCTCACACTAATGAAATTTGTATATATTTATTTATGCATTTTTTTTTTTGGATCAATCTATCTAGTCTAAAGATTTAATACCAGATCCAAAAGATTTAAAAACATATCTTATCTTGGTACTGAAAATATTTTTTTTATTTTAAGATGAAACATTTGTGAATGCATAAATTTGCCTGCCGAGGTCTGTAAACAAGTATGCAATTTATTAAGATAAACTATTGATATAGAAGCACAAGGTCTTTTTAAATTATTTTTAATTGTTTTATAGAAAACAATTTTGGGCAAGGTTGTTTCAGTAAAAAAAACAAAAAAAAAACTTGTTTATATTTTCTCAATAGTCTAATTTGTCTTTATTTATCAACGTGCCATTTCCCATAATCAATTTGTTTCATGAATGTAGCCACTGCTTCGAAGCATGCCATTTTATATGCACAATTCTGGATTGTACAAACCTCAAGCAAAGCTTGTAAGTTGCATGCCAGCAGGCAATTTATCCTCTGTGGTGCAGTGGATCGCTGGAGGGCAACCATGTTTCTTCCCCCAATGTTTCTTGATGAAGGTCATAGCCATCCCTGCAGCCTTGCATGGGATTGAATGAATTGTCTGTTGATTGAAGGGCTTTGAGGCCATTTCTAATATGGCCTTCTTACACACATTCTTCCCTGGCTTTCTGTTCCGTTACCTCAAAACCATATCCTCATTTGCACTCAGCAACACTCAGCTGTCCTCGTATGCCTCTTCAGACATTTAAAAAACGGTCAAAGACTATTGCTCATCAAAGCTTCTAAGCTCTTTAGCTAAGGGATACAATTGTTAGCCCGCATTTCTCTTTTTCTTTTCATCCCTCTCAATTCTTTTCTCTAAGGTCTCTCAATATTCTCCAAATGTCTCATTGTCTTCTCCTACTCAACCAGGTCAATTCCTCAATGGCAGCTATTGCTCATTTGGAAGAGAGGATTGCGGCTGGCAGCTGGTTCCAGGAAGGGGCCCACAATGGAGGGCCCATCCGTCCATTCCCCAAAGCCTCAGAAGCAGCTGTCCATCCCCAGGTCCCCCACCTAAACATCTTAACCTTGTGCTTGATTAACTATTTATCTAAATAAAACAGCACTTTTTGTTGTTTGGACTCCAAGTTGAGTACTAACCTTGATAAATTAAAAAGAAAGTGAAATAATTTAAGCAGACATGGTTAATAAATAATCTTTATTAAAGATTGACAATAAGCTTCTAACTCGTTTTAGTCTGTTTTTATCTTTCATCTTTTCTTCGGGAAGATGATATGATGTGTATGTTTGTTTCATGGGTGTTTTTTCTCCATCACTCTGTCCGCAGGGGCCTTGTTGGCCATCGACAGTCAGCCCAAAGGTCAGCGAGGATCAGCCCAGGTGCGAAGCCCACTTTTCTTCTACCCACTACGGAACGCCCCTTGCATGGTAAGAAGACGACGTTTCTGCATTCCACAAGCGATCGTAATGCATGGTTTCTCTGGATCTCTGAGGAAATTAAGTTTCCATCAAGCTTTATTTGCAAATGTATTCTACCCTATGCACGCAGCGATCAATGCTACACCTATAGAAATGCTCTGAATACTGATACGGGTTATATAGCTGTTAGGATAATGCAGCAGGAGGTAATGGCCACAGCTAAGCAGAAAGAGAGAATATGTTCGAAAAATAAAATATACTACTTATGATTGATGTATCTCCACATGTAGTATATACAGTAGGTTGAATACAGGTTACGATTTTTTTTCTTCTCTGTATAGTGTAGAGGACATTCTCGGAATACCTATAGTGTGTAAGCTTGCTCTGTTATACATTTAATAATAAGTGTTTTCAACCCTCAAAGACCCTGACAAATTATGATATCCTTGTATTGGACCCAGTTCTTTAAAATTCAGTGAATCAGCTATTCATTGTCATGTATCCATCTTACCTTGCACATATGTGAGCTATTTTGGTTACACTTTATTATAAGGAGGGCTTGTTACAGTGTAATTATACATTTAAGTACTGAGTAATATTAATTAACTACATGTACTTTTTAAATGGATAAGGTTAGGATTAGTGTTTGGATTAGTGTTACTTTTAAAATTATGCATAAGTTATTGTTATTATGATAGTAAGTACATGTAACATGTGTAACAAGAATACCTTAAAATAAAGTGTTACCACTATTTTATGTATATGTGATGATTCATTAGCCGCTAGCGGGTAATAACTAGAAGAATAAGAATACTAATTGAGTTACAAACCAGTGTGTTTATGATTATGAGAATAAATTAAAATAATATTATAATAAATCAAGGTTAGGATTAGTGTTTGGATTAGTGTTACTTTTAAAATTATGCATAAGTTATTGTTATTATGATAGTAAGTACATGTAACGTGTAACAAGAATACCTTAAAATAAAGTGTTACCACTATTTTATGTATATGTGATGATTCATTAGCCGCTAGCGGGTAATAACTAGAAGAATAAGAATACTAATTGAGTTACAAACCAATGTGTTTATGATTATGAGAATAAATTAAAATAATATTATAATAAATAACGGTAACACTTTAGTATAGGAGTCAATTCTCAGTATTATCTAGACGCTTATTAGCACGCCTATTATTAACATATTGGCTGTTTATTAGCACTTGTAGCACACTGCTATTTACATTGTTTATTTTTGCATAATATGTACTGTTTCACATATGCATTCACTTTTTATGGGGGGTGGGGGGGCTATATTTTGATAAAATGTCAAGTGTGATTATAATAGCTCTTACATTTTAGTGCTTTTATTTCAAATGGTTGCATTGTTAGCTTGCAGAGCCATGGTGAAACATTTCAAAATGTTGGTTTAGGTTGACCTAGTACTTTTTCAGTGTTTAAGGCTATATGTGACATTTTTAGGATGCACAATAGCTTTAATGAGTTGCTTCTGTAATAGCTACCGACAGAATGTAGCCCAGTGTCAGAAGGTTATTGTTGTACCCACATTTCAATGTCATTTGAATGTAATTACATGGAAATTTGGCAACCAAATGTGAAATGTTAATGTCCGTTTTGAAGAATGGAAAAATGCCTGGCTCTCGCCTAGATGGAAAGCTTTTGAAAGACCGTCTCCGTTTTAGATTTAGAATTCATAGACCTTGACCCCATCAGTCTGTGGCTCACACACAAGCCTGCTGGGAAGGGTGAGTTACACAACTGCAAAAGACTTCCTGAAGAAAACCACTCAAACAGCCAGTTTCAGAGGGAACGTAGAGTCAGACAGAGATGGAGAAGAGAGAGAAACAGTGGGATAACGAATTGAAAGTAAGAAAAAGAAACAAAATGTCAGGGAGATTATGGAGTGTACATAAATAGAAACACAGGTGGAGAAGTAGGTGTTGGTTTGGGCTTTATGAGAAGTCTTGACTGACAGCTTTAGATAGATGTGAGGTGAGGGCTTACTCTTGTATGAACGGTGCCCAGAGCGGTGTGGAGGCACAGCGGGCCATGACAGCATATTGGACTAGATCCAGACACGAACCAAGACTGTAGATTACAACTGTGATCTCTCCCCCTAGCCCTAGTTCTCAGCGTGAATTCTGTAATAGGAGAAGCCTTGCTCCTTTCAACAGCTGCCGTTTTCACAACCCCACTGCAAGTCGCCCGACATATAGGTCCCTCATAATAGATGAACCTCAGAGCAGATGTGATATAAGCATTACAACCTCCACTATATCACACGTTTTCTCAAAGAGCCAGAATTTTGACATCGATATCAAGCCTTGTCTATTTTGCAGCTTAATTTGACCAAGAACAGCTAATTAACATGGAAAAGTGACTAACCACAATTTGTTATTGAGTGGTTGAATATGAAATCCATGACGACGTAATATAAAAAACATAATGGTGCAGCAGTCCTGGTTCATAAACAACAATGAACATGTTTGTGGAAATGCATGTAGACTTTATTATCGTAGTTTATGTGCTTCCAGAACTAACTAACTAACTAACCATCTAGGCGGGAGAAAAAACTCTTTTGAAAGTGAGCATTTTAATTTTTAAGTATTGGCCCTATTCCTTTGTAAGTGATTTAATGTAACACACATACAAGTCAAAATCTATTTTTGGTAACACTTTACTTTAAGGTGTTCTTGTTACACATGTTGCATGCACTTAGTATTATAATAACAATAAATTATGCATAATTACATGCAAGTAACCCGTAAAAAAACCCCTAATCCTAACCATATAGTAAGTACATGTAGTTAATTAATATTACTCAGTACTTAAATGTATAATTACACTGTAACAAGGACACCTTAAAATAAAGTATAACCCAATTTTTTTGGTAATCAAGTTTAGACCACTGTATTGTTGATTGAGCTCAACTTGTGTTAAATATTCTTTTAACATATATGACTAAAAAAACTGTTCTGCTTATGGATATATAATGGCCACTTGTTAAAATTTCACCTCCTGCTTTATTAATTTGCATGAACTGTCTGCATTGTTTTTGCACCTGGTATCTTAAATGAATTATGCAAATCTGAGTGCTAGGTCGTGAAAAATCCAGCAGACTACCACTGTCTGGTGTACTTTGCTGGGACTATGCAGTATCACTTCACCACTGCAAACCAAGCACCCGACTGCTCTTTTAAAGGCCTAAAGTGTGCTTGACTGCACTGCAGATCTGGATATGTGCCTGTTTCAAACATTTATCTCAATCATTTGATGAATTACTGCAAAAATGCTAAGTAGCAAATGTATACAAACGTTAATTTTGCCACTCAAAAGGTGGCTGGCAAAGCTCCTGGCAAAACTTCTGTGAATAAGGCACTTTCTGTAATAAACCAGTTTACTTTGCATATTGTAACTGCTGGTTTTCAGCCAGTTTTTGGCTTTTTTGTGTACAATATGCATCAAATGACCAGTGAAAGGACTGTGGGTTGTCCATTTGAGGCTGAGAATAGATTATGCGTAATCATTCATGAAATGTCTGCCAACTTTGGAAAGGAAAGGTTGACGGCACATGCATCGATGTTTAAATCTGATTTTGTGATCTCTTCTATAGGTCAAGTTCTGGGTGTGTGGATCTTCAAATGGAATGCTATCGCTCTGGATTATAGAGAACAGCACAGGTCCTGAGGGTCAGAGGAGTCTCTGGAACTCAACAAGTGAAACTAATATGGGGAAAGGGTGGAAACTCATTACCCTACCACTCTTCGGTTTGGTGGATCTGTAAGTCTAGTCATAACCATCAAATGTATGCTGAATGTGGTCTGAGTATGCACTTCATTTGAAACTTAATGATGGCATAATCAGGTAAACAATTGCAAGAATGAATTAATGCAAATTCCAGTTTTAGGTGTATATGCAATAGGTTTTCACAAACCTTTGTGCAAACTGTAGTCATTTACCTTTGTTTTTGCACAAACCCACACACTCTAAAATCCTAATGAATTCCACTGGTGCCATGTCCCTATGGTCCCAGCACAGCACTGCACATCCCGTGCTCAACATATCACTCTACCCAGAAGTAAAAAAAAAGAAAAAAATCAATGAAGAGACTCACCATTCATCCACACTTTCTCTCCAATTAGCAACTGCTCTTGACTTGTAAGAGTAAGGAGGGCAGAGGAAAATAGAAGGGTGTTATCTCTATGTTTGATTGGAATCTCATCTAACCCTCCCAAAACCTCCACAATTCTCCAAGCCCCAACCTCCGCTCTTGTTATCCGGAGCTTCGCTAATTCCAGTCCACAGAGGCCGATTACAATTTCATTCCTGGCCTCCTTCCTTTTCTTGTTGTAGTCCAATTTTTTTATTTTTTTTTGTTCAACACTTCTGCAAAGCTTCATGCTCTATGACCCAAAGAGCCAATTCTGACCCATTTATTGTTATGAGAGATATTAGTTTATAGAGGACAAGGGGTTTTCAATCCCAGGAATTTATTCAAAATAATGTAGCATGAGGAATATGATGGATTCTACTGTATACATTTGTGGTGGTACTGTATATATATATATATATATATATTATTAAGATGAAATTTTGTTATTGACCAAATACTTATTTTCCACCATAATTTGCAAATAAATTCTTTAAAAATCCTACAATGGGATTTTCTGGATTTTTTTTCTCATTTTGTCTCTCATAGTTGAGGTATACCTATGATGAAAATTACAGGCCTCTCTCATCTTTTTAAGTGGGAGAACTTGCACAATTGGTGGCTGACTAAATACTTTTTTCCCCCACTGTATATATATATATATAGGTACAGGCATTTCTCTTCCAGTGTTTATTATTCCAAAGTGACTCTATTTAATAGCTATCCATTTTCCTGCCGTGTTACCACTTTTTTTTTTTAATGTATCTCTGTTTTTCTTTGTCACACGTTCAGGTTCTACCTGCAGTTCAGTGCTGATATTTCCTCTAGTGCAGGAATTGCATTTGCTGTGGATAACTTCACTCTGAGCATGGAATGTTTCCTTGAAAGTGAGTATTGCAGCTTATAAATAAACAGATAACTATTTATTATCTGCCATTTTTTATCCTGAGCTGAGAGAAGTAGCCATTTTAATAAGAAATAATTAATGTTAGCGTTACCCATCCACTAATTGTTTTTTTAGTGCCTGGTACCACCCCCTCCATTCAAGCTCAAATGCAGAGAACTGGCTTTGCCTAAAGAGAACGCTATGAAGCTACACTTAATTAGCATTAGTCATTTTTTTTATAATTACAGTGCTTAAGGTACCTGAAATTGATCTCTGTGGGCGTATCATGAGTATTTATTGACTGGTTGACTTGATGACATCAACTTTTCATTCAGAATGAGGGTGCTAGAGCTGGCGAACTGACATAATTTATTTGGTGTGAGCAGTTAGCTCTTTTAAATTTAAATCTAAAAAGCTGTTTCCATGCTTGCCATTACAAAATGAAAACATTTGCAGATGTATATACATACAGTGTGTGTATATATATATATATATATATATATATATATATATATATATATATATATATATATATATATATATATATATATATATATATATATATATATATATATATATATATATATATATGACTTATTACTCAACCAATCAATCAATCATCAATCATCAATAAATCAATCAAATAAATAAAGACTAAAAAGGACTTTTGATTTTACATGCATAGATAATTCACTGTATCTTCCACTGAAGTTTAATTTAGTAGCTACGTTTATATGCAACCAAATAATTGGTTAGTAATCAGCTTGAAGGTTCATTCGGATGGAAATTATTTTATGTACACACTGTAAAATGATCCGACTGAGCTCGATCCAAGTTTCGGTTGGAATTGGGTTGAAAAGAGTGGTGTCGACCTGAAATAATCGGATCAATCGGATCAGATTCACATATCACATATATTAAAGGGGTCATATGATGTGATTTCATTTTTTCCTTTCTCTTTGGAGTGTTTCAAGCTCTTGGTGCATAAAGAAGATCTGTAAAGTTGCAAAGACTAAAGTCTCAAATCCAAAGAGAAATTCTTTATAAAAGTTAAGAGCAGAGGCGGACAGTAACTAAGTACACGCACTTGAGTATTGTACTTAAGTACACTTTTTGAGTATCTGTACTTTACTTGAGAATTTTTTTTTTCTGGAATCTTATGACTTTAACTTCACTACATTTGAAAGACAAATATTGTACTTTTCACTCCACTACATTTCTATCAAGATCCTCAAAGTAGAAAGTAGTTAGAAGCTTTGAAAGTCAGTGGGTGATTTTTTTTTTTTCAGACAGATTATCAGTAATCACTCTTGGGGCTACATAAAGTGATTTCCCAGCATTTTTTGAGCACTGACCAGCTCCAAATGTGATATTTATTTACAAAAATCACCACAGAATAACTGTTGTGCGTCTCCTAATTAAACACAAAAGGTGTTTGACTGAAGCAGCACTGCACAGACTGTTCTGTGTATGACATCAAAGTACTGTGAGAGCGATTAGACAGCATTTTTTATTTTTTGTTTTAATGTCAAATAAGTATTGCTGTTTAGATTTTTTGTTAAAGCAGTGCTGCTGTTGTAAAGTTATATAGCTAAAGTTGTGTTGCTGGGTTTTAAAGCAGGTTAGATTTTTTTATTTTCTTCCTTATCAGCAATTTCACTGTTCACTGTTCAAATGTGGATGAATGGCTATACATAGATGTGTCCAGAGCTGTGTGAGATCACTACCATCCTGCTTTTGTGGGGGTGGGTAGGGGTGTTAAAAAAAAAAAAGTAAATTAAAAATGTTGTTTTGTTTAGTTTTTTCCCCATAGGTTTTTAACATTCTAAAAGCTCTTTATTCCAAAAATACTGCAAGCTAGTCAGTGTGTTCAGTAGGTGTAATGTATTGTAAGTTGCTTCAAAGGTATTGTCAAAAGGAAAATTTACTTTTGGTACTCAAGTACTTTTAAAAGCAAGTACTTCTGTATTTTTACTTAAGTAAAAATCTGTCTTTACAACTTTTACTTGTAATGGAGTAATATTTAACCAGCAGTATCTGTAATTTCACTTAAATAATGGAGTTGTATACTTTGACTTTGAGTCAACCATGCCCTCCTAAAACGGCCATTCTAACACGCCCCCACATATCTACGTCACGATGTGGGAAGATTTGCATAACAATGTTCACGCAAAGAAAGGCATAACTTTTATTCTCGCTGCAGTATTGTTGTTGCCGCTGCCGCCACGTTTCGTGAAGGCGCTGTGTGTTTCGTTGTGAAAGCGAAACTACTTTGTTTGGCCTTCCAAAAGAGGACGATATCCGCTTCGTCATACAAGCAATACACAAAATAATGTTCTTTTTAGCAACATCATATGACCCCTTTAACATCATGTGTTTATTTTTTGCCTTTCATCTTATGAAATAGTGGAGGAGACTTAATTTTAAACATATGGCTCCAGCTACGAATGTGGCGGCTGGGAATGGCATATGTGCTGAAGTTTTGTTTGGACTTCATGTAAATACATTTGTATGAAAATAAATTGGATTTGGTGAATTGTGAAAATGAATCAGATTGCAATGTTTAAGGTTTGTATATACACGACTTTCCAAATGTTTCAAACAAATCACTCTCTGCTGAGGCTGGAATCAACTCTTCAAACAACGACTCTGACACATTCCATGAAATGCCAGGTCAGCGATGACACAAGAATGACAAGACCTTTAAGTCAGTGCTAAGAGGACATTGACAAGAAAAGCATCCTCTTGAATTCCACATTTTTATTTTGCACGAAATTGTGAGCCGTCTGAGGGGGCTCTTTAGAGGGATTTGAAGGAGATCAGCGCAGGATATTGCACAGCTGGGAAAAAAACAGGAATGCAGGAATGGGATTAATGCAAACCTCTAGGATTAAACAGGATAAGATCATTTATTTGTGAGCCTTATGGCATCTAGCTTTTTAGCTTTTTATGAACCAATGCGCTTGCTTCAGCGTTTGGCAGATCGAATCAACTTGGCACTGACTCCATCATACATTTGCCCTTCTAGACCCTGGCAACAGTGCGAGGAAAAAGTGGTTTACTTCCCAGAAGGAGTGTATAGGGCTTTACAGTTGTTTGCTGTGCTGTTTAAAACACATTAATGCATAATCCCAGTTTGTTTCAGCTTTCAATAATGCATCCTTGCATTAAAGACAACTAATACACAGCAAAGCAGACAGCTTAACCTGAACATACATAAATAATGTGTGCAGGGAATATTCTCTCTTGATGGCTGGCACTTTGATCCTCACAGTGTGATGATTTTAAAGCATCATTAGACATGATGAGATATATATCTTTATAAGATCCGAGCGCTTCACAAAGCGTCCTAATCTCTCTCCATTGGCATGAGAGAGAGTGCCACTGATGTTGAATGGCTCACTTGCTCCATGAAATATTTGCCCAGCAATTTATATCTGACTCCATTTTCTGCCACACATCGATTCAACGCGCCAGCACTGCGGCTGCCATTTATCCCATCCCCTCTGCCATTTCCCTTTCCAATGACACTTCGGAATGTGTAAAGTGATACATTATGCCCTCATTCCCTGCCTAAATGAAATATTATAGTTATATATCATCACACTAGGGTTTGCGGTCTAAGCATCCAGCATTGTTTCCAAGGCTGAGCATTGTGTATCGTTGACATGACTGATTTGTTTAAAATGTAATTGTTCAAAATTTGGTACAAGCTACATAATATGGGGACAAGGCCCTTAGGATAGAAAAACCACACAAGATCAGTTGTTTCTTCTAGACAGCAATGAGATAGAATGGATGAATCTAGAGTTCTCTCCAGAGAGAAAAAAAATGCTGTAGTTATCTATCTATCTATCTATCTATCTATCTAT